GACACTGGTGTCGGGCAGAGTTCCACTTCTGTCTCACAATGAATTATCCACTATTGTCGTTAGGCTAATTGCATAACGCATCTGTTATTCTGATAGCGACTTATGTCTGACACACGAGCCGTCAGTCCTGGTAAGCCATTAAGTGTAACTGAACATGGCCGGAGAGGTCAGGCACGGCGATGGGAAAACAGTTGATATTAGGCATAATCAGAAACAAGTCATTTCATAAAAAGTAACAGTTCCAAATATGAACTTCCTAATAAAGACACCACCCACACAGCAGCAGCAGCAGCAGCAGCAACAACAACAACAACAACAACAACAACAACAACAACAACAACAACAGCAACAACAACAACAATATGTCTCACAGACTAAACAATCTCACACTAAACTATCACTTATAGTATGACCAGAAATTATTGAGAATTTTAGGAGTATGTTTAATTAGATTTCTAGTATAAACAACCTTGACCAGCTATCAAGTGCTTGGTTTCATTCAAGAGAGACAACTCCGTTAATCCTTTTTCATTAGTTTGTGAAGAGTTATCCCCTTTTGTTTACTTGCTAGCAGACGACATTTTCAGTGATCCTCAGTATGGATGATTTAGAGAAGAGGAAGTTGATTTTAGAGTATTATAACAAGGACATCAGATCAGCTAAAGTAATTTCAAGTAGAACAGGCATCCCTTTGTCCACTGTTTATCGTGTTTTGAAAAATATTGCAAATGGATATGGCATTGAGCACCAGGGAGGCGCAGGTAGGCCCAGAAAATTGACTGTCGGTGACAGGAGGCGGCTTGGTAACGTGTTTCTAAAAAAAACCGAAGGAGTTTAGAAAACTTAAGGCTGGATATGATTGATAGAGGAACTGTTGCTGTCTGTAAGGGGACAATTAGAACTGAGCTGCATGCAATGAGTTGGAAGATAAGTCGAGGAATTCCATCACCGATCATGAAACCTGAACAAAAGGAGTGAAGGTTGAACTGGTGCTTACAGCATAGACATTTTAACTGGGACAATGTGAGGTTCACAGATGAAAGTTCTGTGTGGCTGTTTCCTAATACACTGAAATTTTGGACCAAACAAACTGAAAACATGACAAATATTGCTGAAATGAAAGGAGAGGTGGTCCGATATTGGCACAGCATGGACCACGACTTTCTAACTTCTTTGATCAGAAGTATGCCCCGCCGCATTGAAGCCTGCATTGCTGCCCATGGTGACTTGACAAAATACTAACTGTTCACCTGTCTTTGAATCTGGAGTTATGTTCTGCTAATATTCACATTTAGTATGTGAGTAATGAGTTAAAAAAATATAAAAAATTACAATCTTAAATTCTCAATAATTTCTGGTTGTACTGTACACGCACTAAACGATCTCTTTCGCGCGCACGCATACGCACGCACGCACGCACACACACACACACACACTCAAAACACACACTCAAAACACACACACCTCTCTCTATTTTGGTAAATCTCAGTAATTCGTAAGTGGGCGTGGCCTATTTCTTTTACGGTTTATAGAAAAGTTTTCGAAAGAAGTTAACAGATGTGACTAACAAGACAGATCCCACAGGACCATTATCAAAAGTCATGATTAATTTCATTGTAACCATTTGCATTGTATTCTTCTGAAAATGCGACTTGTTTAGAAGCATCTGGTGATCGCTACACTCTTAACATTTCCTACTAAACTCTACTCATGCACGTTCTAAACTCTCATTCTTGTTGATATATTAATTCTCTGCCAGTATATCATATTGCATGCGCATAAATAACGTCACTTGTTAGCCTGATCAGCCCCACGTTACAAGCCAATTAACATCTGTCGACAATGTAACATCGAGAAATATACAGCGGTCACGAGGGCGTCTACAGTTGAGACCTGCTGCATGGAGGCAGCTTCCCGCGACCTAGGGAGGATCAACTTGTTATATGTGTATGTTTATGAAGTCGGATAATCATACCATTAGTTATAGGTCGTAATCCAAGTCCAGATGATTTAACACCATACGGACCCACACCAACTGAATTAAAAGGAAAATCTTTCTTCAAAATCATATTTTCAAAACAAAATAATACATTTATAGTCACGAACTAAAATGGAGAATTATGTTTAACAAGATGTCAGTGAATGTTTACTTTCAAATTTAAAAGCATAGAATATGGAAATATACTCATGGAAACGAATGAAGGAACACATGAAAGTACAAGTTTTACTTTATTTATTTCCAGACTTTCACTCACAGTGCAATACACACCTTGTGAAGAAACCTGGAAAAGAATATAGGAAAACTCGTACTTTCATGTGTTCCCTTATACGTTTCCATGAGTATAGGTGTGTAATTTACTGTTCAGGCTGTTCCGTTCGCTGTGGACAGGACGCGGACGCTCAGTCGACTAAGACGCCACATGATTTTCACAGGCATTATCCGATACTCCTTGTTCGAATCCGATATGATAATCTAACTGTAATTCTTTGTTTCATGGCAGGATACCTGTGTCATGGTTTTCAACCAAGTAGATATCTTGCTTCGCCTTGGCTTTCCTCCGACAATGATCGCTCTTGTCGTACTGTAGCCGAAATACTTGTCAGCTCACCCCAAACCAAATCGTTGTGTGTGGGGTATACTACATGCTAGGTGGTCATTGCAAACATAAGATATTCATTGTTTTAGGATATAGACAAGGGAGCCATGTGGTAACATGTGTTTTTTTGAATAGTTTGAATAATGACTTTCCCCATCGGCCTCCTGTGGATCTATAGAATACCAGTTTTCGGAAACAACTGAATACTTCTGGCAGTGGACGAACGAAGCAAGCGGAAACGGGCCATATTCCTGTACTGTTCACAAATTTCAGAATACTGATATTTCACAGGAGCAAGTTTAGTACTTTAAGTTTTATTTGTCCTTTAATATATTTTAAACCATCATTTGATAGAACTCTGGAGATATCAATAAACTAGGTCACGGTTTTGAATACAATATTTCACTGTCGTATGTAAAATACAGATGTGGTCGCGATCCACGTCATAAATTTAATGTGTTTTACACAATAATACATCTACACACACATATAGTTTAGTCCAAATGCATGTTATAGCAAACTAAACTTAGCGGTTCCTTGTGAGGTCCGGTTCGTGATAACTGTGGGTACTGCACATGTATTTGGTAACGAAAGTAGTTCCGACGAGCACGTGTTTTGGTATTACCACTGTGTATTAACTGCTAAAATGTCAGTGGCATTTTCAACAGGCGAGTAATAAAACAAATGTAAACACAAACTGACGCTTCAAGACAACCTAATTTACAATCGTCACTCTCGAAACATCACCTCCCATACTTGAAACTGTGTATCAATGTTTTGGTTTTGTGTGTAGTCATATCCATGATTGTCCTACAAGACGACCAAGTGGGTGACTTTGTAACCTAACTGAATGGGATTATGCTCCTTGTATTGATCACCGCTGTGTCTATAGTTTATCGTCATTGATGGAACACTGGTGACTATGGCGTGACAAGGAGTCAGTGTTGCGGAGACTACTACAGCCTTCACCTCACGTCTCTACATAGGCCTGTCCAGTTCTTACAGTAAAACATTGATATTTTTGTTAAAATCAAATGATTAAGCCCAGCTAGACTCATCTACTTTAAATAATTTGTTCTCCCCACTTTTAGCTGGCAAAACGTCTATATTTCATTAAAATAAGACACCGACGGAGGAAGTGTTTCATTAACTTTTCTGAAGTAACATGGTCCCAGACTTCAGTTTTTTTGTCACTTGAATCGTTATACGAAGATCTAACATCAAAATGATAATGCGCTTTGGATGCTTACATTTATTGTTATTTCAACCGGGTAAATCAGTGGAAGGGAAATGGTCAGTTGACCGTTATTGACCGAGATTAGATCATCGCTATACCCAAAGTTTAATTTAACTTGCCCAAATTCCCCAGTAATGACTTTGCCAATCTAGTCCGGACAGAAATTTGTTATTCGTTTGTATAGAGCAACAAGTCCACTGGGCCTAATGCCTTCTTCTCGACTGAATGTCTTAGCTACACCTGTTACATTGATGTTATAGATAAGAAAGTCAAGCATTTCACATATTGTTTTCTCAAACTTCAGATGACATTTGCTGTCATTTCTGACAAACTGCTTGAACCTCTGAATATAGTAACTATGTCAATGATCAAGCAAAGTTTTCCCTTAAGTTGTTAACTGGAAAATAGTGTTAAAAAGATTAGACATTTTGACAGAATTGAATTCAGTTCTTTTCTGAGATTGCACAAAGAAGTAAATCCTTTGAGTTTTGAAGAATCCACCATGAAATAATTCCATTCCCCCTAAATAGTTTATGTGTATGTAGAAAAGAAAAAACCTCATCTACCATTGAGCACGTGGTGATGTGCGCCCAGTGTGTGATGCAGCCCGGGGCGGCTTTGTATTACATGTACACATATGTACAGAAATATATAATGGACAGACTAGAACCCACGTCTGTCTGCTCAATATGCATTTGTATCAGCATGAAATAGGTGCCTGTTCTATACTGAAAGACGAAGGGTTCTATTGCACAATAGATAAATAACAACTCTGAGCAGTTTCAGTAGAAAGCTTGTGCATCAGTGCGGACACTGACTTGGAAGAGTGATTTCCTTGTGACCAGAGCCTACATGAGTGTGTCAGTGTGTGGAAGGGGTTTTGGTATGGCGTTGTCAGAGTAAGTCATGTTACAAGTGGGGAATAAATCATCCCCGTGACCACTTGGTATCTGAGAGCTGGGAGATACCATGTAGCAGGCAGGTGATTGGACAGCCCATGCGCTGGCTTGAAATCTGTACTGCAGTCGCAAACGTCATGTCTCATAATAAAGAAGTTGCTGGTATTAAAGTAGCTGTCACACCGGGCCAGACGTGGTTAGCGCCTTGTCATCGCAGTGAGCAGTCGCACATCCAGCACCCTGTGCCACCTTCCTCCAGCCAAAAGTAGGATGTCGCTGTTGCTGCTCTTCCTTGTTCTCCCTACGGCATCGTCGACGGCGGTCGTTGAGGGTTTTTCACCCCTGATGAACGCAGACACGCTCATCTCGAAATACTCGTCCAGCAGCTCCTTAACTCAGGACGAGTTCCACGCTCTATTCAGTAGTCTTAAGTTGCATGTAAAGCAGAATTTTGGACAGGATGGGATCTTGGGATCGGAGACTGATGCTGTAAATGATGATGCTTGGTGCCAAACAGTTCTGAACAACACTGCGAATACCACCTGCGGCCAGGTAAGTCAAGCACCGTCTACATCTGTATTCACTGGCAATAGTGGGAACGCGTGATATTTAAATACTATAGATTAATAATGTTCACTACGTGGTTTCCCGAAGCATTCAAAACCTAACATACGAAGTAATCAGACGTCTTTGTTTATGAAACAGTATGTGTGTTTTCTGCATGAAAGAAATGAAAATTCGTGAACGTGACAATGCGGCATGTAAGGTATCGCAATTCGTTGTGCAGATCTGCGACCCTTGGACTAGCCAGTATCCCGTGTATTTGATTCCGACCCTGACTGGCTCCTATGGTTGATTCCTATGTACTCGTTGCATCAAATTGGTAAACGTGTAAGGACAGCATCACTTCGGATTTTTTCACACACTAAACTGATGTAACTGAAATATTGTTAGAAGCGATGTTAAAGTTACTAATCTACTTGTATACATTTATTGTTTGGATCAGATATCTTACTTTGGAATGGCCTCAATGGTTCATATGCCGCAAATGCTATAAGTTATCTGAAATAAATAACTCTCGCATTAATTTGCTTGTGTTTCGTATTCCAGACACACAAGTTCACATAACCTATAACTGTTGTATACTTGCAAACGTCAACATAGTAATGTAAAACATATTAAAATTGTAACGTAGTAATATTTCTAACTGGGGGCAAGATGGACTATATTTCTAAAGCTCTTTGCCCGAAAAAGCACTATGAACAATACAGATTATATTTGTATTGTATTTTCTCCGAATACCATGCAGTAGTCTGTAGACATGATTGGTATGAGGGTATATATGTCTGTGTAACAACATGGCAAACAAAAGTATTATCCTATAGATGCGTGCTTGTGTAACAGAGTACTCATGATACATCAATTCCATCCTCGCGTTTACCATGACCTTTGGGTACTCACGGTGTCATGAGCTAGAGACGCGTCCTATGAGTGACATTTGTAATGTTGCATTGTTGGTATGACCTCCAGGATGACCTAACTTGCAGGTTCACTCATGATTAGGCTTTTGAATATTCAGGACAATAGATATGCACACATGCTCTCAGATGTCATACCTGACACAATTCCTGTATAGCCTTGTAACCCTCTCTCATACCCTATTTCTAAACATGGAGACAACGTTCAGATGATTTCTCACCCGTATTTGTCTTTCCCTTTTTTAATTTTATTTATATTTTATTTTATTATGCATAAACGTCTTAACTCGTCTTAACTGGAATGATTCTCTGAAGCCAGACAAGTGTTTTGTCTTACTCTTGTGGCTACATTGGTTGAACTACGTGTATGTTTCACCGACAGCTCTTCCTCCTTTACAAAATGTAACAGACCTTCCATTAATATTTAAAATGGTAAAAGCACGGTTTCTGTTATGCGGAAATAGGCTTGATCTTGTTGTGGTCACCCAAAGTTTTCAAGATATATTTCAACTTCTTGTGTCTTAGATTCAAACACACATTAAAATTGTATCTCTTCGATTCCAGTACATATTAAATTGCATCTCTTAGATTCTAATACATATTAAAATGTAACCAATATATTCTACTGAACATTACAATGAATCACGAAGACCCCAACACACATTTCAAAGTATCTCTCATATACTAAATATTTCACACTTTAAAATATTACCTTGAAGGTTCAGGTTAGAACTGGGGCGGTGGGTAGCCCAGTGGTTAAAGCGTTCGCTCGTCACGCCGAAGACCCAGGTTCGATTCCCCAAGTGGGTACAATGTGTGAAGCCCATTTCTGGTGTCCTCCGCCTTGATATTGCTGAAACATTGCTAAAAGCGGCGTAAAGCCTCACTCACTCACTCAGGTTAGAACTGGTCTCAGGCAACCCATGCATTTAGTAAGAGGCGACTAACGGGACCGGGTTGTCAGACTTGGTGATGTGATAGATGCATGCCATCTTGCCCCAGTTGCATAGATTGATTTTCAGGATGCCAATCTCTACATTGTCTGGTCCAGGGTCGGGGCGGTGGGGTTACCCATCGGTTAAAGCATTCGCTCGTCACGCCGAAGACCCGGGTTCGATTCCCCACATGGGCACAATGTGTGAAGCCCACCTGTGGTGTCCCCCGCCGTGATATTGCTGGAATATTGCTAAAAACGGCGTAAAACCATGCTCACTCACTCACTGGTCCAGGGTCGCGTATTACTGACCAACGTCCTATAGCTGGATAACTGCTGATGGTGGCGTTGAACAATACGTGGCCACGTTACAATACTTCTCTTATATTACCCCACATAATAAAATGTATCTGTTAGGTTCCAATACACATCCAAATTTTGATTATTTTTTCTCGTGGTAGACAAGTAGTTTGTTGCAAGCATGAGTTTGAGTTCCTGGTTCCTTGCTTATAACAAAGTGTAACCTCTTCATGACAAGTACGAAAACGTGAACGTTCAGGGCCCATCTCACCTGCCAAGCCTGAGTTACAGACACGTGCACAACGAGGGCACATGTGACGTCATAGCTACTGTTATTTAATAGATGGGTATTACCGTAACGCAATAAAACACAGATTAATGTCATCCTGAGCAGGAAGAAGACCTCACAGACCCGTCTAGCTTGGCATTATTTCACAATAACCCAGACTTTACCATTTATGTCTAGTGAGAACAATATACACTTCAAATTGTACATTTAGGAGTCGGAACATTTTTTGCATACATTAATTCAGCTATTAAATATGATGTGCCACTTTTCTCTCACTAAACCTTATTCAGTATTCACTTCATTTAGCGTTATAGTTGCTACTGGCTTACTGTATTGATCGCTAACTTACAATGAAATAAAAGTAACGTTTCATGCTTAAACATTAAGTGGAAGTGTATTAGACTAGTACGACATGGTTCTTACATTTTTTGTAAATCATGCATAGTGTGACAACTGACAAACAGAACCGGTATAAAATATTTATATGAGCAGTAGAATGAACACCGATGTTTCACCGGGACATGGTGGGCTAGCCTTTCAATGTTGACAACCAATACAGTTTCCCAGGATCCCTTCTTGATTGTAATAAAAACTTCGAAATTTTAGATATTATTTCGTTTTTCAATTCCTCGATAATTTGTGTTTTTTCTCGTTACTTAGATACAATTTTCGTAATTTCGATTATTTTGTCGTGATTTCAAGTTTCTTTCAATATTTTTAAAATCTCGAATTATAGAATATACTTGATCTAGCGAGACGCTAAAGTTACAGATAATTGGAATAATGAGAATTTCCGATTTGAAATCTTTCAATGCTACAATGATGCACCAGGACGCGAACAAACACGTCATGGAAATGAAACAAGACGTGTTGAACGTATGTTCTACTGTCCATCATTTGTCATCAAGTCATCAAGTCTTTGAATGGCATTTACAGGCTATACGGATATGGTTGAACATTTTTATGTCAAATTCTTTATTGTGGGGAACATCCGATTTAGGACCAATCATATACTCCGAAACATTGTGTCCATAAGTTGACATCCATAAATTCTGAATTCCTGATAAGTGCCATATTTGCATACATTCGTGTCATTTCGATTCCGATATAAGAACACAGAAAAACATTCGACCGGAGTACACCAAGTAATAATGCTAATATAATTTAAGCTAAGAACGACAAATTGAGACAACAAGGATTTTAGATGTTAGATCAATGTAGAATGTACTGAACCCCCATGAAACAAGGTGGGTCTCCTAGAGGCCCTACTCAACTGTGATGTTCATAAAGTAACACTGGAGTCATCTGTTCTGAAATATAGGCGAAGTGCGCCCGCAGTGAAGATGTATTCAACGCATACGCTGTGAATGCCAGCATCAACTCGTCCTCTCTGTTACACGCGCTTCCTGCTATTGTCATTGCCCTAGAAGAGGACCACTGCCGGGCCCAACAGCATGCCGACACAGAAAAAGATGAAGGACCTCGGAAACCTACAGACGCAGAAGGTACTGAATGGGGTTGTTCTTTGACGTGGAGGTTGTAACTCTGTGTCTCAACTTTGATGTTACTTGTGTCCACGTACCGTAACAAGGGATAACATGGTTGTATCTTCTGTGTGTCTCGAATAAGGGGATAACTATCTTGGGGTTGTGCCTACTTCTCTGTCTCATCTCTGCTGCTATTTATGTCCACGTAACATGGGGATACCTACCTTGGGGTTGTACCTACTACTGTGTCTCATCACTGATGTTTTTTGTAACCACGAATAAGGGGACAACTATGTTTGGGGTGTTCTGCCTACTGTGTCTCATCTCTGATGTTAGTTGCCCCCTCATTCGTGGACAACTATCTTGGCGGTGTTCTGCCTACTGTGTCTCACCTCCGATGTTAGTTGTGTCCACGAATAAGGGGACAACTATGTTTGGGGTGTTCTGCCTACTCTGTCTCACCCCTGATGTGAGTTGTGTCCACGAATAAGGGGACAACTATGTTTGGGGTGTTCTGCCTACTGTGTCCCATCTCTGATGTTAGTTGTGTCCACGAATAAGGGGACAACTATGTTTGGGGTGTTCTGCCTACTGTGTCTCACCCCTGATGTGAGTTGTGTCCACGAATAAGGGGACAACTATGTTTGGGGTGTTCTGCCTACTGTGTCTCATCCCTGATGTGAGTTGTGTCCACGAATAAGAGGACAACTATGTTTGGGGTGTTCTGCCTACTGTGTCCCATCTCTGATGTTAGTTGTGTCCACGAATAAGAGGATAACTATGTTTGGGGTGTTCTGCCTACTGTGTCTCACTTCTGATGTGAGTTGTGTCCACGAATAAGGGATAACTATGTTTGGGGTGTTCTGCCTACTGTGTCTCATCTCTGATGTTAGTTGTGTCCACGAATAAGAGGATAACTATGTTTGGGGTGTTCTGCCTACTGTGTCTCATCTCTGATGTTAGTTGTGTCCACGAATAAGAGGATAACTATGTTTGATAAAGAGGATAACTATGTTTGGGGGTGTTCTGCCTACTGTGTCTCATCTCTGATGTGAGTTGTGTCCACGAATAAGGGGATAACTATGTTTGGGGTGTTCTGCCTACTGTGTCTCATCTCTGATGTTAGTTGTGTCCACGAATAAGAGGATAACTATGTTTGGGGTGTTCTGCCTACTGTGTCCCATCTCTGATGTTAGTTGTGTCCACGAATAAGGGGACAACTATGTTTGGGGTGTTGTGCCTACTGTGTCTCATCTCTGATGTCATTTGCTTCCTCACAGCATGGGGTTACGGCCTCGGCGTAGTGCTCACTGTGTGTCTCATCTCCAACCTCGGGGCTTTCCTCACGCCCTTGATGAACTCCTCCTTCTTCCAGAAACTGCTGATGTTTCTTGTGGCCGTTGCGATAGGCACACAGGCTGGAGCCGGCATAGTTGTACTTATACCGGAGGTAGGTCTTCCCGAGGTGCATAAAACGACGAGAAATTTAGAACCACCAAGTACCGAAAATGTGATAAATACCATTCGTCCAGGGTGTAGTGTTCACCCACAGAATGTGAAATTCTAAAGTTATTGTCACTCTAAGATAATGTGGTATACTGTTGTGTGGTATACTGTTGTGTGGTATACTGTTGTGTGGTATACTGTTGTGTGGTATACTGTTGTGTGGTATACTGTTGTGTGGTATGTTACAGTCCATGCACCTGATGTACATCGAGGAGACCAAAGACACGTACCTGTGGAAAGCCTGCTCTGTTCTTGGAGGGATCGTCTTTGTACTACTGCTTGAGCGAATCCTGAAGATAGCATTTCACCAAATAAAGGTAGGAAGACCAACACCAACAGATCATGCATGGTGTATAACATAAAGGTAAAAATTCTTAAAATTTCAAAAAGCGTGAGAGCAAACATTTTAATAATTGACCCTGCCGAATACGTGAACAATATTTAATGTAACATAAATACAAATCCCTGACTTCCTCTGATGGATTCACATTGCATTCATCAGTCAGCTAAAGAGAGGACCGTGGCGGAGATCTCAGTAGAGGTTGGGAGCACTGTCACCATGAGCACGACCTCGTCGGCAAGCGAGGACACTGACTCCAACAACAGCGACCTGCCTGTTGCTGTGACCACTACCGTGATTGGGAACGGGGCAAGCAACGGCAACGCACACACACACACCAGCATTAACGGGACGGACATCAGGAAGACCAGTGATGTTGAAGCAGACGCCGGCGGGAAAGTCAAGCAGCAGATAGCTACCGTGGCTTGGATGGTCCTTCTTGGGGATGCTATACACAAATTAGTGGATGGTTTATCTGTCGGCGCAGCTTTCACAGAAAACATCACGACAGGTCTCACTTTAGCCATCTCCATACTCTGTGAAGAAATACCCCATGAGCTAGGTAGGTTCTTATATGTTCTATATGACATGCTGTTCTTCATCAGAAATTCCCAATATCAGGATGTCTACTGTCACAAATATCAGGGAGTGGGTCTCAGTTGTCCGAGGCGGCGGCCCAGAGAGAGTCCAAAGCATGTAATCTTTAATCATTGGTTTGATCCCCGGTTTACATTGATCATGTTGCTGGGTTTGTCAGAACCACCCTGTGCTCGCGGGTATACATTTAAGAATTGCATTACTTCTGGCATTTACATTAAGCTGACACATCGTGATAGGACTGAGATAATCTTTAACATGGACTTGAACCTACTTCTCCCACATTTACTGTTGTAGCTGGATGGTGTTGAGCATGTAGACACCGGTGCATCAAAACACATTCATCGACAAGATTGTATAGATTCTTTATTTGCTTGGCAGATATTGTCCAATACGGGACTACAGGTATCCTTGATCGTATGGCTTGCGACCCTAATGTTTTAAGTGGTTTGTTGAGGTTTCCTACCCGATTTCATGCAATGAAAGAGTCTCTCATTATTTCAGATTGAAAGCTATTCATTCCTCCAGTGTTCCAAACCTGTAATTTCAACAAATATCTACCTATGTGCCTAGTCACGTACACTACCGATCTAACATGCACTTTATACTGGCGGCAGGTGATGTTTCCATCCTGCTACACTCGGGGATGACGATGAAGCAAGCTTTAACCTACAACACATTGTCAGCCGCCATGGGCATTCCAGGAGTCATAGTGGGCATCTTTCTAGGCGAGACGACGTCTGCAAACCAGTGGATATTTGCAATAGCAGGAGGCATATTTATTTATGTGCCCCTCGCTGACATGGTACGAGCGTGTGCTATCTATGTATTTATATTCGTAACTACTCGCCTCTTTCCGTGACCTACAAGAACACTCGTACGTGAATAGTACGCCATTATTGCCAAGAACCGTGGCAAACCAATCAAATCGAGTGTAGTAAAATGTGAAATGAGTCAAATAGTTTCTTTGCGATTATCGATTTTCATTATTATTTCCGTGATTAACAATTACCTTGTTACTGATATTTGTTAACACTTAAGAAACCTACTTAAAGTGACTTTCGTGTTGTATTATAATATTTCTTGGAGTAGCCATGTTTGGGCTATCTTTCTTTGGAAATAGTCCTAGACTATTTTCATCTCCGTGCCCGTTTGCGCTTAAACAAGGCCCAGTCGTGAACATGGCCGAGAGGTTACGAGTCGCCATCCGGCTTGCCTGAATGACACGAGTAGTTACGAATGATGTATTTAGTTCACAATAGCCATTTGTAAAATATATCAACGCTTTGTATCATTGAAATTCATTTAGAAATCAGGTATAAGCACTTTGATTGTGTTCCACGAATAGTGACGATATCTTTTCTCCTTCACAGATTCCGGAAATGGGACACGCTGTTGACAAGGCATTGAAAGAGGAGACAGGGGCCATCTTTTTATCGATACTGCAGCTTCTTGGTTTGTGTTTAGGCTTTGGTATAATCATCCTTGTGGCTGCATATGCAGGAGAAATCGAACTGTGATCTTAAGTTGACTACAAACTGTCTTCCAGCGGTTGTCTTGTGGAGTTGGACATTGGTCTGAATACAAACTATATACCATTCTTCTTATTCAGAGACAATGCAGTTACGACCATTCAGTTAAACCCCTCCACCATATTTCACTTACGAAGCAATGCAATAGGAGGTAAACAATGATCCCTCTATGTACAGTATCTGCCTAAGTGTATGTCATTATAAAACAAATACATGTAAAGAACAACATAGGGGAGCATACGTCACAACAAATACCGGGAGGTACGGGAATAGGACACTAATAGTATTGGGTAATTGGGCACAGCCGTACTGACAATACTCCGTATGAATTTACACAAACGACGCTGACGCTGGATTCTATACGTCAAACGAGGAAGTCAGTTGCGTGAATGGCGACCGTAAACCACACGGCCAACGCTTGATAAGGGTCACATGTTAGTTGCATGGGTCTCTCTGATCTGACTATATGTTAGATGAGTCTTTGACAAGGAAGTGTTTGAGTTACAAATACTTCATACAGGGGTCCCCGCCAACGCTCCTCCTTTCGCAGCTGTTTCCTGGATATAGCTGTACATACCCGGATATACCTTGAAGCGCACCCTACAGATAACTGTGCACCCGTAAACAGATGTATGAACTGTGAACTCAGGTCAAATCTGATCTTTCTTCTTCTAAGACAATGCATACCATGGTGCAGATTTACAGGTTGTTTGTCTTTTGCTCTGTGATAATGGATAATAGTATCTTGTATGTATTTTAGGTGTTGTGTGAAAACAATAAACTATATTATATAACACGTTCGTGTCAGTATTCCTTACAGTCAGATACCACGCCCGTCTTGACGTTGTTGATGTTGATGCTGATGCTGATGCTGTTAACGTTGTTCACATACTTCAAGTTGCAATTTCACCACCAGCAAGAAACCAACGTGCCCTGTAACACTGACCCTAGTACCACCAGAACCAATCAACATGCCCTGTAACACTGACCCTAGTACCAGCAGAACCAATCAGCATGCCCTGTAACACTGACCCTAGTACCAGCAGAACCAATCAACGTGCCCTGTAACACTGACCCTAATACCAGCAGAAACAATCAACATGCCCTGTAACACTGACCCTAGTACCACCAGAACCAATCAACATGTCCTGTAACACTGACCCTAATACCAGCAGAACCAATCAGCATGCCCTGTAACACTGACCCTAGTACCAGCAGAACCAATCAACGTGCCCTGTAACACTGACCCTAATACCAGCTGAACCAATCAGCATGCCCTGTAACACTGACCCTAGTACCACCAGAACCAATCAACGTGCCCTGTAACACTGACCCTAATACCAGCAGAACCAATCAACATGCCCTGTAACACTGACCCTAGTACCACCAGAACCAATCAACATGCTCTGTAACATTGACCCTAGTACCAGCAGAAACAATCAACATGCTCTGTAACACTGACCCTAATACCAGCAGAACCAATCAACATGGCCTGTAACACTGACCCTAATACCAGCAGAACCAATCAACATGCCCTGTAACACTGACCCTAATACTAGCTGAACCAATCAACATGCCCTGTAGCACTGACCCTAGTACCAGCTGAACCAATCAACATGCTCTGTAGCACTGACCCTAATACCAGCAGAACCAATCAACATGCTCTGTAACACTGACCCAAATACCAGCTGAACCAATCAACATGCTCTGTAACACTGACCTAATACCAGCAGAACCAATCAACATGCCCTGTAACACTGACCCTAATACCAGCAGAACCAATCAACATGCTCTGTAACACTGACCCTAATACCAGCTGAACCAATCAACATGCCCTGTAACACTGACCCTAATACCAGCAGAACCAATCAACATGCTCTGTAACACTGACCCAAATACCAGCAGAACCAATCAACATGCTCTGTAACACTGACCCTAGTACCAGCTGAACCAATCAACATGCTCTGTAACACTGACCCTAATACCAGCAGAACTAATCAACATGCCCTGTAACACTGACCCTAATACCAGCAGAACTAATCAACATGCCCTGTAACACTGACCCTAGTACCAGCTGAATCAATCAACATGCCCTGTAACACTGACCCTAATACCAGCAGAACCAATCAGCATGCCCTGTAGCACTGACCCTAGTACCAGCTGAACCAATCAGCATGCCCTGTAGCACTGACCCAAATACCAGCAGAACCAATCAACATGCCCTGTAACACTGACCCTAGTACCAGCTGAACCAATCAACATGCCCTGTAGCACTGACCCTAATACCAGCAGAACCAATCAACATGCTCTGTAACACTGACCCTGATACCAGCTGAACCAATCAAAACACCCTGCAACACTGATCCTAAAACCATCTGAGCGAGTCAAGATGTCCTTTGTCGATGACCCGAATTCCAGCAGATCCAATCAAGATACACTGCAACGCTGACCTCATTACCAGTAAATCAACTATAACCATGCCATCTGTGGCAGTAGAACCAATAAAAGATACCATGCATCCCTGCCCCCAATTCCAGTAACCTCAGCACAAGTTCAATATGAACACTAGTCAAAACCTCTTAACCATGACCAGCGTATATTGATACATGTTGTACGAACATGACTCTTAGGTAAGCTGAAATGTTTGGCATGTGTAATACATTAACTATTGAATACATACGACAGTAAGGACATGACTGGCTGTACAAAGCAATATTTATATATTTAATCGAGTAGTGTATGCCAGAGATGACCCTTCATGGCAAATCTCAGAGAAACCGTGTTACTCCGGATTATACTGCTGTATTGTCAGTTTTCCAAGGTTTATACAATGGACAATCTTTCTATTCTGAAACGCTTCCCGCATACTGGCCTAGAATTCACCAGAGTACAGGCTGATGTTGGCATGGCAATACAGAGTCTCTTGTTCTGTATATTCTGTCCACTAGAGGAGACAGCTGTGACAGCTGTTAAACTGTCATCTGCGTCATCTGCCGAGCTACAACCGGATACAACGGTGACAGACGCTTGCTGTTAGACTGTGTGCCTCATAGCTGTTCACGAAGTCACGGCATGTATCTTGTTCTGTCACGTGTACTCACAGCAAGCCCAAACTCATCATGCTGAAACACCGACCAAAATATATAACTCTTAATACTTTCACTTTGATTAAATGTCAGACGACAGACGACATCGAACTCCTCCTCTGATCTTTGTACACTCATGGTCATTTAACAAAAGGTAAATATTTGCATTTACCCTTTTTCCCAATCCGTTAAAATTTGATAACACGGTCCACTGATATTTTTTTTTAAAAGCAGCCCAAGTAAAGCGTTTAATTGATAATTTGGGAACTTTCAGACTTTCGCCGGGGGATCCAACCGACATAGGGATTTAGCCTCCTATGAGACTGCACACTGACAGATAGAATATCTCTGTATACATAGGGATAAGTGGTCCATATTCAGTGTGTTATTCTACTGAACTTGCGTGTGAAAGCCGATTCTTCCAGATAGAAAAAAAACAGCAAAACATTATATTATCTTTAGCAGGGCTGCGTGCTCATAATATGCTATATTATAAGTATTTGTTTATGTGCATGTTGTTTAACATGCATTGTTCCTGTATGTAGTTTGTAATTGAAAGACCATATAGTTAGACCACAATTGCCTTAGGTCACAATCGCCTCAGACCACAATCGCCTTAATCCACAATCGCCATTAACAACACAATCGTCTTAGACCACAATCGCCATAGACCACATTCGCCCCTAGACCACAACCGCCATAGACCACAACCGCCATAGACCACACTCGCCCCTAGACCACAATCGCTATAGACCACAATCGCCTCAGACCACAACCGCCATAGACCACAATCGCCCCCCTAGACCACAATCGCCTTAGACCACAATCTCCCCCTAGACCACAATCGCCCCCTGACCACAACTGCAATAGACCACAATCGCGCCATAGACCACACTCGCCCCCTAGACCACAATCGCCTTAGACCACAATCGCCCCCTAGACCACAATCACCATAGAGCACAATCGCCAAAGACCACAATCGCTATAGACTACACTCGCGCCATAGACCACAATCGCCCCCCTAGACCACAATCGCCATAGACCACAATCGTCCCTAGACCACAATCGCCCCCTAGACCACAACCACCATAGAGCACAATCGACATAAACCACAATCGACTACCTTGACTACCCATCATAGCTCTGAAACGTGCATCCGGGCCATTACGTAAATAAAATCCCACGAGTAAGAAATTCGTCACAGATTCACATTACATGTGAAAAACGGAGTACTTCGTGAAAGTGTTTTAAGTGTTAAAAGCAATTTTTTACGCTCAAACATCGTAAATGTTACAGCTGAGCCACCCCCGCAGCATCCTGACCTACATAAGATCAGTGAGAGAGAAATCAATTACAAGAGCAAAACATTCGACCACGACCTTCAGCTGTTCGTCCAGTTATACTGTCCCATCATCAGTACGCTTAGCATGGTCAACACAACATCACTGCCCACTGTACAGCATCACTGCCCATGGCATGGTCCCTTTCGTGGTCATGGCAGTGTGACAGGTCAAGGGACGCGTTGACCGTCCCCACAACCTTCCGTCACACCCATGGACGCCAAATATATGTACAGCAGTACAATCCCTCGATCCATGTCCAGTACGTGTCTGGTGTCCATCGAACATGTGCGTATATAATATGTCAATTTCGAAAGCAACTAGATACGTCCGTCCATCTCGACAGGCCTTGGTCAGGAATGTCATCCCACAACCTCTACCTCGTCCTGTAGTGGTCAGTGTGCTTCCTCTGAAAGTCTTGTGTCATTGCTGATGTTGGCCACCCCCGATGTTGACTTGTGTACAGACCCCAACGTTACATTCTGCCTGACATGACGTTTATGGAGGAGCACTTTTTCCGCTTGTGCAATAACATTTATCAGATATAGATTGTATGAGACAGCTGAGCACATTGATCAAAATAAAAATGTGTTGTTTACAACGGTGGCTACAACCACTAGCAAGCGCAGCCAGGCCACCCCAATGCGCATCAATGAACGGCACTTATTGGAACACTATCGTTGTAACATTCTGGCTGTTGGGGGACCATTCTATTTTTTAGGAAGGGGGTGGGGAGTCTAAACACATGATCAAGGTCCCGCTTTACTCCTATTTCTCACATAATGTGTCCCTTCTTCAAGAATGTCTGAAGCATAAAATTCGTTAATTTAGGAAATATGAATACCTGTTTATATAAGTAAAAATAGACATAATAAAGGTATTGACCTCAAACCCTATCCACTTAAAAATCTGGAAACTGTCGCTCTCATAAGTTCTAAGAATATTATCAAAGATTGAAATTGGTGAGAGCATACTGTTTCTATTCCTTAAAATTGTTACAAACCAAATCTGTTCTTTAGCCTATATATTTACAGCGATGTGCAGTGTAATGAAGCTAAAAAACTTGCAAGTGCCATAAATCTGGCCATTAAAACATATAACTTACAAAGATATTTTACTGCAGAATAAATAATGTTTCGTAAATATATATTTGTACCAAAGATCACCTGTATATTTATTCAGTATCAGCCTCGAAGCTAAACAAAGTGCATACGGACTGACATCGCGAGTCATTTCCTGCAGAATTACCATAGGACGTCAGGTTCAGACACCTGCCACACATATATTTATGTAAAATAATGAACGCATTAACATGCATAATTAAAAACTGCATGTGATCTGGTCACGTGAAGGTTAGCTCATATTTGAAA